CAGAGATCAAACAACTCAAAAAAAAAAGAAAATAACTTTGTTAGTTCCAGATAACAAGCCTATTCGTGTGCAGCCATAATTTAAAACAGAAGGACAAAAGGTCCTGATGTTGATTGTATTACAAAAGGATATAACTGGCAAGGAATGGAAATGAATGATATTACAAAGAATGGAAAGTTAAAACAAAAATCTCTGAAATAATTATTTTAACTAATGCAGTGGGTTTGGCATTAGGCTTGTTTGTGTTAAGCCCTTCAATTAAGGAGGCTGAGTTCTGAGTCTTCAATTTGGATGTGTCCCCCTGATTACAGCTCATCACACAAAACTATAAATTTTTAGCCAATTGTTCTAGCTCATCTGTTTAGTTCTTTTTAAAATTCTAATTAAAAAATAATAAAAATTATCTTTTCTATTTCTAGATGTCATTTGCTCTCTGGTATTTAAAAAAATAGCCTGACCACATATATTTTCCTTTATCAATACTTCTTTTTTATTTTTTTATTTTCCCAGGCTGTCATTGTTAGGTGCAAGACCTAAAAACTTACACAGGTTGGTTATTGTATCTGTTTTCATATATAAATCCAGCAAAAAAAGGTGAAATAAAGTAACATGAAGTATTTTATGCGCATATACACTTATGGATATATACAGTGGATTAAAAAGAAAACCCTCAATCAGTTGCTGAAGTTTTCTAGACAAATAATCCGTGAGTGGAAAAGGATTTGCATATTTATGTAATTGTGTAAATTCAACTTCAAAGTAGGTGTTCCTAAAGTTATTGTAGCAGGGTTTGATTTTGTTTTTCTCCAACATTTTTGAATTGGAGTGGCAAATATCGAAGTTTGAGGAGAAAGAGAGAGTTAATATACATAAACTAATTGAGAGTTTCAGCTGCTAAAAGACAAAGTCTCTTCTAGCAGTAACTCCACCTCTCTGCCAGAGAAACTCCATATATGGCTAAATCATCTGTCTTTTGCATCTACTTTTACACTGCGTAAAAGAAAAAGAAAACAACAAAAACACCCTACATAGTCAGAGGACTGAAGTGACTCCAGTTCCAGAGATGTTGACAGAAAATCCAGCACCATTAACTGTGGGAAGCCACATCTTAGAGTGGTTTGGTGTTCATTGCCTTAATAGTTTGATTCACGTGGAAAACCTGCCTCCCCTACCTTTTATCTGATAAAAGGTATCTGATATACCTGATATCACAGAGGTATCAGATCCTTCAAACCAGTGAGATTTTCAACACCATAAACTGGTGACATGCTTGCCACAATTAAACCTCTGGCCTCTGCGAATTATCTCCCTTTCCTCCCCCTCTTTTCCATGCTATTTTGTGCTATTTATGTCTCAAGTCCTTTGAGAGGGAAAAAAAACACCCAACAAGGTGACACAGGCCCATCAAGGAATTTCTCACTTCCAGTCCTTTTTACACTAATATTTCCAGATGTTGGGGCGTGGGGTGTTCATCTTGTGTCCTTGGCCATTTCAAGTTTTATTGACTGCATTTGAGCTGAAAGATATTTGCTTACCCTTTGATCAAACCCAAATACTTTTTGCCAGATGAAATGTGTCATCAGATAAATTCCCTGAGCAAGTTCCCATGCAGGGGCACATACCCCTGGACCTGGCCTTCTGTAACAAACACATAGTCCAGGCACTTCCCCAGCAGGGAATGCTTACAGCTAAGGAGAGCGCCACTGCTCTCCTGTCCTGTCTCAGCTCTAATGAAGGCCTGAAACGGGATTTATCTGCCCTCATTTTTCTGTTTAGAGTTGTAAACTCAGAGCTTGTCACCCCAAGCTTCCTACTTTTAGGTAATTTGCGATTCTCATTTCCTTGTGACCTGCTGGGTCACCCTTCTCTGGTGGTGTGCTGTACCCAGGAGAGTCTGAGCAATTAGGAGCTCTGGGGGAGAAGCAACACTGTAGTGTGGGGTTTAGGCTCCTAAATGCTGTTCATTGCTATTCTGAAGTCTCATCAGAGGAACAGAAGATTCCTGGGACCACTGGGAGTTTTTGTACTGGGTTCTCCATCCTAACAGCCAGTTAATAAGCAGAGGTTGATCTGCACAAAGAAACCATCCCACCAAAATACTGGTATTATCCTTCCTGTGACAGAAACAGTTAAGAAACCTCTTGTTAAGGTTATGGGCTCGGAGCACAATGCTTAGATGAGTTTGGAATTTGCAAACCTCAAAAAATTCCACAGTTGTGTAACACTAACATGTCACCTCTTCTTCGCTCTGACTGGTGTAATCTGATGACAGTGAAATGCGTGAAAAAGATCATCTGCTAATACCAGATTTTACACTGCCTTCCACAGCAACGGGGAGCATTTCAAGGGTTCCTGCAGCAAGGCTGATTTTCCAACTGGAGTACAAATTAATGCCTATGAATTGGGGCACTGCCAGGCCAAATGGGGTCTGGAGACTTAGATATCATAAACCAAATTACCTGAGCTTATTGGTTTGAGGGACTTGGATTTTGAGACCCTTTCTTGCTTTTTGAACACTTGTAATCAAATGGTTGATTTCATGGACTTGATTAAGATGGAAATATTTAGTCCTTCTAGGACTAATGTTTTCTTTTATTTTAGTACAGAATCAAATTGATGGTTTACACACCTGCCTAAATTCCTCACAAAGATAATACATACTTATTCTTGTGTTTATCAAGCTAAAAATTGCATGTAGTTGATCACTTTTGCTGATCATACTTTCTTTATAGAAACACACTACCTGTTGTATCTGCCAGATATCCCACAAAAAGACAAAGATTTGTTTTCTTTTAGGTGAGTAATAGCCAGAGGATCTGGTAGTTTTTTCCCAAATGAGTAAGTTATAACATGTCTGATACTACTAATAACCCATTTCAGCATGTTTGAGACAGCCCATCAGAGCTGAGGGAGGGATTAATTTCCAGCTATGGATTAGCAGCCCACATGGTTCTATTCCCACCGGTGGGGCAACCAGGTGTATCTGCACCCTCTTACCTTATCCCCCCACGTCCCACCATGGCTCTCTGTGCTGGGTGTGTTTGGGGTACAGTTAATGTTATTAACAGCAGCTAGTATGGGGCTAAGGTTTGGATTTGTGACCGAAAAGGGGTTGATAATTCAGAGATATTTTCAATATTGCTGAGCAGTGCTTACACAGCGCCTTTTGTGCCTCTCAACCCACCCCATCAGTGAGGGGTGTGGGGCTGCACAAGGAATTGGGAGGGGACACAGCCAGGACAGCTGAGCCCAGGGATATCCCACCATATGGGGAAGGAGGAAGTGGAGCGCATTCAGAGTGATGGTGTTTGTGCTCCCAAGTCACATTACATGTGATGTAGCTCAGCTTTCCTAGGAATGGCTGAATACTGAACTGCCCATTGGAAGCAGAGAATGGATTCCTTGCTCTGCACTGATGTGTGTAGCTTTTCCTTTACCTGTTTAACTGTCTTTATCTCAACCATTGAGTTATCTCACTTTTTACCCTTCTCTTCCCTGGGGTGGGGGGAAGTAAGTGGCTGGCTGCCTGGGGCTGGACTGTCAGCTGGGGTTAAACCACGACCTTCCTACCCTTGTAGTACTACCCTACCTCTGCACCTTCTTCCTGTATCTCACATCTGGGTCCCCCCTAGCACCCTTACCTCACCTCCTAAACAGATGTTATCTCACCAAAACCACGCTCACCCTGCCCTTCACCCACTCCCACTGTCTCAGGCAGAAGGGCAATCTCAGGGCTGGCTGGGTTTCTGCAGCCAAGTGGGATGAGCAGCTGTACAACACACCAGTCCCTTGGCATGCAGACAGCTCAGGGGAGATGCTTCCTTCTGGACTGCTACTGCTCACCAGGAGCCCTGTGAGGTGGTGACCAACCCCTTGCTCCTCTGAGCTCTTAAACTGTAGGAAAGGTAGTAGATGCTTGTGTCCTATCCTCCTTTAAAGTGCTTCCCAGAGCTCCAGTGATAAACAGTTCTGCAGCATCTGAATGAAGCAATTCCTATTTATGGACATAAATAAATGTTCTGGGACTTTCAACCCCTGCCTTCAAATCAAGCAGACAAAATATTGCAATTCCTTTTCACTACAAAGATGTCTGAAAGAAGAGAACATGGATAGGATTTTTGTTTTAGATGCATCAAGTTTTGCTGGGGAACTGCTCATTTTTTCACTTTGTTTGGGTTTTTGTTGTCATTTTGTTTTAAAGCTTTTTGTGCTGATCTTCTCCAGATTCTCTGAGGGAGTGTCAAAGTAATTTGGTCATTCAGAGAGAGCCTAATTTTTCCTTTTCTTTTCCTCACTTCCTTTGCCCCCTATAGGAGACAGCAGCTTCTGGGGGGTTGCCTCTGCAGGACAGGGCTGGTGTGAGCTGTCCCTCCTCCCCATGGCATGAGGATGGATAAGGCACTGCACGTACATGGCATGCAAACAAACAGGTACCTCTAGGGTGCCACACACACGTTCATACATGATTTCTTCAATTAGCAAACTACAGACCCTTTTGTCAATTAAATCTACAGAACTAATTTTCTTATCAGTGCTGACCACCAGACATCAATGTCAACCCTTGAATCACTTTGCAGCCAAAGGATATGAAAAGGTGTGATGCCCTTTTACTCCTACAAATTACAAATCTACAAATTGTCCCATGTTTTCCTCCCAGGTGAACTGAAACTCAGTTAATAAAAAAAAAAAACACAGACACGGGATTTCCTGGACTTACTGGTTAAGTAATCCTAATAAGTCTTGCATGGTGTATCTTAACAGATGAAAACTGGAGAGCAAATGAGCAGTAGTAGGTCCTAAAATCAAAGATTCTGATTTTTCCTCAAATGATAAGCATTCCCTCCCTTTGTTGGCAAAGCTAGTTGGAAGCAGAAATTGTTTAACTGGAGCTGGGCTTATTGTTTGAACATAATTATCATCACTGAAAGACTTCACATCGAGCTTCCAGATGATTTTAAGTCAAAACCAGATGAAATGCATAGAAATATCAGAACACTTACATTCCTTGGTGTTGGGAGGTGCCAGCAAGCATGAGTAGCAAACCATCCCGTAGATGTTCCGAGGTCTGTTTTCCAGCATGTAGTAACTGCAGTGAAGGGCAAGAAGAGGCAAAACAGTGCAAATTAATATGATATGACTGAACATGGTTCAGCAGCAACCAATTATATGGAGATAAAATCATTTAAAAAAACTTTTATAAGCAATTTGAGGCAAAGATTATTCTTTTTTTTTTTTTCAAATTGCCTGAATGGAGACTGTGTTTCTCTTCTTCCTTTCCTCCTAATATGTAATTAATCAAACCTCTAGACATGACAAGAAGTGGTAATATTGCCTAAAACAACATTAGTCTCCCTGCTGAGTCCAAGCTGCAGTTTACAGCATGCCCTGAAACAAGATTTTTCAAAATAAGAGAATGCAGTTTTTTGAAGCAGTAATCTTTCAAGCAAGACCACCAGTTGGATATGGCTGGCTAATTTTACTCACAAACACTGTAAGAATAATCTCTGTAATCTTAGAACCAAATCTGAGCCAGATCATAATAAAAAATACAGGAAAAACACCACCCTCACAGGGCAAGTCAGATTAGGTTTTACAGGTTTGTTTGGGTTTTTTTTTTTAATTTCCTTGCTGTATTGTTTATAAATTAGTCCTTGATAGTGGAATTACAGTGTGTCAGAAAGGTTTTCATAATTTGAACTTTTGGGCTGCTAATAAAGCTAGTGTTGAAATAAGATAATTGGCTACTTAAGAGTTAGATCCATATGCATCCTAATGAGTAATTACATCAGAATCATACATATGTTGATGTAACATCATACTGTTGATGTTATGGATATGTCTTTATAAATCACTTGTAAATCACTACATATTTTAATGAAGAGATGAATAAATTCATAATCTATTCTGTGTAGACAGGAACTCAACACTACATAAAACATTTTATGCAATTTTATGCAATTGTGGATCTGTTTTCTGCTCATATGTACCTGTCTATGCATGTAAAGTATGTTTTTTTTCTGGAAAATATATGCATTGTTAGGAAATCACTGCTGAAACCGTCCACCCAAATCATTTGGTGTATTAATGAATGGCAAATAAGAGATATAGGTCCAGGAAATGGAATACACAGTGATGCAGCAAAGGGAAGACAGGGACTGGAGGAAACTCAGGGAGCCGGGGAACTACTCATCGTTCCTCATTTCTTTCTTGCTGGTTTTAAAAGATGGATCCTTGCTTCTTCCTTCAAAAATCTCTTGTGCCCCATGTGCCACTCTACCTAACTCTCAGGAGCAAAACTTCATCTTTCCTCTCTTATGGGGGCCTACATAATTTTAGGCTGCAAAGCAGTTAACAAATACACAGGAAAAGGCTGCCAAACCACAAAACAAAAGAGTGGAAGCCCAAAGATACATATAAATCTATGAAGAAAAATACAGGACAGTTAGGATCCACAGTCTAATAGCTGTGTTGGTTTAGGAAAGACAAACAATCCTCCTGACACTTACTAAATCAAGCTGGTGGAATAATTCTTGGTTTTCACCACCATGCAGAATGGTGGAGGACATATAAAGGAAACCGAAGAGGATGCTCATGGCAGGCAATCATTCATCCACATGAGCAGGAAACTGCAGTTGCATTAGTGACTCACCCACACAAAGTACTGGCAACAGATTTGTGCTTCTGGCCACTTTCCAATGCACCAGATATTAAAGGTAATGTTGGAAATACGTGATACCTTTATATCACCAACTATGGAGAAGTGACCCACTAATGACAAAACAAATTTTCACAGTATTACTCTTCCACTATGATGTTTATCCTTTCTTTCCTTGGTACCTGCCAGGCTCAGGTTTGGAGGGGCTAAAGAAAAATCCAAGAATAGAGGCTAGACTGTAAAATGGACTTCTTTTCCTGCTTAACACTGTACTGGCTTATCTTGGGCCAACCTTGGTGGTATTGTTCCAGATTCAGGGACTTGGACCCAGGTTTAGGCCTTCCCTCCCACGGGAACAGGGAGCCTGGGACAGGAGGTGGAGAGGGGTGGGTGCTGTACTCAGCAGGGGATAATCTGCAGAGAGGCAGCAAAGAGGAGCATCCTTGGTGGAGGCATCTGTTGCCTTATCCAGAACAGCAAGGGTGGGACTCAGTTTCATTAGAAATTCACTGGCTAAACTTTTCCATGCAGAAAGCAGAGGAGCATTCACTCCTTCCCTTAAAACCTCTCAGAGAACTGATCCCGCATTTGCTGTAGCCATCGGCAAACACGAGAAATGGAGAAGAGCCAGTAGCAGAGGCATTTCTGTCTGCATTTAAAGAGAAAATGATCCCACTGCAATTCTATCTTCTGAGGGGACTGGAAGCTTACCCCAAGCTGAAAATAGGTGCTGGGTCAGCATAAGGGATATGTATTGTTTATACTTGACTTTTTCTTACTCCTTATGGCTGCTACTGAATGAAGACAGACGACCAGGCTGGAAGGACTCTCGCTCTGACCTGCCACTGCGGCTTGTAGTCAGCTGTGATCTCAGTCACGCTCCAGGAACACCTAATGGATCACCCCACTGAGGGAAACAGTCTGAGTCACACCTAATTTCCATGTTCTTAACCTGTCCTATTTGACATGATAGAAGATCTTCTGGGCAGGGAGCAGAGGACAAAGCCTGCAGTGTCTCAGGAGGTTTCAGTCTAGGTACCTCTAGAGTTCACTGGCAACTGGACTTTGGTTTTCAGGATCACAGCTTTGGAACTAAGCCTTTAATATCTTCTCTGTCTTGCACACTTCTTGTGAGCATGACAATGTTATTTTTATTTTATATGAGAGGGAACACAAAGAAGAAGGAGGTGACCTCTCCTCTTGTACCAAAGGTATCTTTCTTCCCTAGAATTGGTCATCAGTAAGAGTGAAAAAAAGAATATAAAAGTATATAATTTTCCAGGGCTTATTTTAAGATAAATTACAGAGGATGGCTCTTGTAAGCACTGAAAAAGGCTGCCAGTTCAGTGGTACTTTGTCTGAAGACTTTTGTACAGAAGGAGCCATATGCTCATCTTTTCCTCAGGCTTCTTTACTGAGGTGGTGAAAAAGCAAAGGGATGAGATATCCATAAGTACAAACAGCAGCATGTGGGCTGTTACCTTGGGCAGGTCTGCAGTGTGCTATGGAAGCAGTCCTCTGAAAATGGAAACCTTGTTTTTATCCCTCACATCCACTCAGGGGCTCTCTGAGATTTATTGCCCAGGCAAGGGAGCACCCTGCGAGCTGCCACTCACCCTGGTACCTGGCTGTCTGTGTGGCACAGGGGACAATAAGGACAATCAGCTACTCACCAGCTCTCTGCTCTGACACACAGGCTCTGCATTTCCCCCACCAAGACACAGGAGCAAACTCTGGGGACTCTAAGTAGCATGAAGAGCCAGGGCAGCTTCAGAGCTTGTTTTAGCTCATATTTAGTTTATCTTGAGAATTCCATCTATTCAGTCTTGGGCTGAGAGGGTGTTTCTCCTTAGCTGCTGGCTTTGCCAAACAATCCCAGGACCTGAGCGTTACAGGAGGAGCGGCACACAGCCAGATTCCGACAGACCAGTTTCTGCTACAGGCTACACCTGTGCAAACACGATGTTTTGAGATTTCTCCCCAAGCACCAGCTGTGCAAGCTGATTATTTTCAGCCAGCACCCTGCTCCCACCTGGGTAACCTCATTAGTCCTGACAAAAATTGCAAAACAGCAACTGTGACCACTATTTAAGTTTATTGCTCTTTATGATAGGTGAGGGGAAGTTAAGAGGGAGTTTTTTTTTTTAAGTCACAGCATCAGTCTGTTTGGCTGGCAGCTAGACAAGTCCTTCATTTTATTTGTAAACTGTGAAAATTTCACAGACTTACTGATAAAATAAACCTGGAAGCAGGGCCTCTTTAAGAGGCCTTCCTGTGCTATAGGCAGTTTCTCTTTTGCATCTGCAAACTGAACAAAAGCCAAGTGTCTCTAAACCAAAGAGAAATAGTGGCAGAAACTGAAAAGGTAGGTAAGGCAGGTAGGTAAGGTGAAGTTGTATTTTGGGGTACTTACCCTACAAAAAAAAAAAAAAAAATTGACTGTAAATATATGCTTGGGTTTGCAGACTTTCAGATGTAATATTATTGAGGATATACATATCTAATGTAGCAATTTCTTTCTCAACATTATTAGAATTATACTGAGTATAAGAGAACGTTACAAAGGTGGACTTAATAAACAGCCCCCTATTTTAAGCCCCTTCAGCCAGCCCTGAAACTTGTTTTGGTTCTGAACAAACACTATGCACACTACATTAACAGCTCCTTAGACTCCCTTCTGTTGTGTAGAAAGGACCCCAGAGACTAAAATGCCTTGGTAAATCTCACTGAACAGCTATGTTAGTTAATGCTGTCAACTACTGACAAATGTGCCTGCTGTTCACATCTGGAGAGGAGATATTTTATACCCCTAAACAATCTGTAGTGCCAGCATAGACCCTACAGGGTATTTCAGGTGCTCTCATGCAGCTCATATGTAGGAGGCAGGACTGAGAAGGTAGCCCTCTGAAGCTACAGCTGCAGGCCAAGCTGGATTTCTTTGAGTGTTTATAATGGCACTGCACACCTGTGCTTGTTCCCTTTCCATTTCTAGTAAGAGAATAGGGTTTCTAGTTGTTCCAAGCAGCTATTTCTTCAGTGAGACTTCAGTAAGATTAAGAACATCTTTAGGGTCCCTTCCAGGCCTATTTTATGATTCTGTGTTTATTAAACTTACCAATGCTTTTGAAACATTTAAATGTATTGTTTTAGCAGAGATGAAAAAGCATAATTTACCAGTATTGTACCTATAGTCAGCTTTGACATGGAGAGGCTGTCAGAGACTTGGACATTAGGAAAGTACTTCCCAGTGCCTTGGGTAGAGCAAAGATCCATGGATAAGTCCTTACCCTGGGAGACAAGGACCACACTCTGCGTCATTCTCCTGATCTCCAGGTGTCATGACTGTGGCTCGGAAAAAACCCTCGCAGTCCTTGTGCCGTCTGCATATCTGGTAACCTCCTTTGGAAAACTTCTCTGAAGGGCAGGGGATACAGCCATAGTCCTCATCTTTGGTGCCATATCCACATGTCTGCAACAACACACAGTCACTCAAAAGCAGTCTTGTGCTGCACACCAACTTCTAGCTAAAGAGAATGTTCCCAGCCTTCCCCTTGGCTCTGCAGCACGAGGGGGAGGAGTCTGTCGTTTGGCCTGATAGTGTCTATCCCAAAGAGAACATGCAGGGACATAAGGATGCAGCACACTGTGTGCAGGTGAGGGAGAAGGGGAACTGGAGCATCAATCATACTGCTTGCAAGTGGCCCTCCATACTACTTCTATCATAGTCCAGCAAACTGTGGAAGTGAATTTCAGCTGCTGCTTGGATAGAAAGTGAACTAAAAATGTAAGAGTAGAGAAGACTCCTACAGGAGAAACACAGCTGCAGCAGGGCTATCAGCAGTTTCAGGCTAGAAGACCCCAGAGGGAACAGTCCAAAAGGCAATGTTTGGATGAGATTTTGTAACCTCTGAACTCACATGTCCCAGCTGAACATTAAGTTTAGATTAAATAAAACTAAACCAAACTGGTTATTATTCAAACATAATTGTTCGGGACTACCAACTGTGTGAAATGCTTGAACAGGATGTTTATCCCATTAAAACCAAACAGGATTTCAGTAATTTATTTTTTTTAATAAGCAACAATTATCTGCTGTAAATCAAAAAGTTACTTAGGAACCATAATTTAAAATATTGCAGAAACATTCAAGTTCCTTTAGTGCCAAAATATCTTAGTGGGAGAGCAAAATTAACTTGTCAGTGTGAGGGGCCAGCAAGCAGACCAGACTGACCAATTTATCACTCTGTGTTGGAATGCCAGCATCAGTTTCTAAGTAACTGCTGAGATGAGAACAGGCTGGCAGAGACTGTGTATGGAACTTCTACCTTTCAGTTTTTACAGTATCCCTTGTAACAGGATGTTCCTGGGATGTGGATTGCTGGCATGCATGCAAGATGCCTTGCTCCCACAGCACACTTGGAGGTGTGAGTGCTCCTGCTCAGGAGCATTCCTTATAGCCTTCCCCATTTGCTTTCCCACCCTTTGCTTCCACATAACAAAGTATTTGGGTTTTTTGCATTTGGTGCTTGATGTGTTCCCCCCAGCAGCAGCAGAAGCTGGAATTACCATGTAAGGTTCTTCACCCGGCTCGCACTTGGGGCAGTCATGGCACATGCCAGTGGTCTGGTTGTAGTACTCATTCTCACCGCAGTTGGAGTATTCGGCACTGGCGGAGTACACCAGGGAGACCTGTCACCAGAGAGCATTCCAGAGCACTGTCACTTCCACTGCCATCGTCCTCCATGCCTCACCCCCTCCCCTTGCACAGCTGCTGTGGCTCTACAGGCAGCAGGCCCAGCACTGCACTGTGAAAGCTCAGCAGCAGAAGTGGTGACACTATTTAAGTGGAAGCAGATGCAGGTTTCAGCAACCAGGTACTTCCAAGAGTTTCTCAGAGACTGGCATTCATGCTTGTTGGCACTGCCACTCCTTAAAACACTGAAGGCCACGGTTCCTGGCCTGTTACCTGACATGCTCTCCCGCACAAGCAAATGCCAGAGCTCACACCCTCATCACTCCCAGCTCTAATGAGCCTTCATAAATGTGACTGCAAGGGACAACTATAACAGCCAGAGATAATGCGCTGCCTCGGGCCTCAACCACAATAGGGCTGTGCTTCATGTGACACCCAGGCTAATGTGCTCTTCTAGCACCTTCTGTCTCTGCTCCATCCTGGGTCCTTCTCCTTCCCCCTCCTCCCTAGCATCCAAGCTTTAAACAGCACATTCCCAGGTGTTTTATGGAATGGAAATGATCACTGGATTGAGGTTCAGTCCCTAGGTCATGTGTAGCTCTGCCACAATTCACAGGAGGTTATGAATACCCCCAAGCAGAACCCTGTTATCTTTGCACACTAGAAGGACATGTACACACAGAAATACCTACCATCAGGAAAGGGAACACGTGAGTCCATTTACGTTCACCCAGGTGAGCCATGCTCTCTTGATACTTTACCTGAAAAGATAGAATTGGTGATTGTTTATGAACATGAGTAAATATTTGTGTGTGTTGCCAAAATAAGAACAGAAGGGCTCATAAGCAGAACAAAGGTTACATGGGAGCAATGCCCAGAGGTCTAAACAAAGAGGGGGAGATGTGCACGTGCAGTCGTGCATACACACAGGCACCACACACCCTTACCACACACCTCTTTCCTCTCTTTGAGAAGATAATGGCAGGAGGGAATCCAGTCTTGCCATATTTACAAAAATCTGTGAAAGATGAGGAACCCAGTCTGAATTCTGGCACCTCTTGGCTTGCTGAGAAATCCTCCCAGGAGGAATGGAGGCCTGTGTCTTGACCACTGAATGAGGGCTGGGGGTCAGTAGCCTGGCTTGTGTCCACACCAGTTGGTGCTTGACCACACCACCTCAGGTTTGTCTGGGGAAGATCCGCATGGAGCAGCCAAAGGAGAGCCAGGGAGTGAACCAAAGGCAAGCAGTGTGGGCAGTCACAACACCAGGGGTGCACTTTGCTTGCTGGCTCCTGTGGATGCCCTGAGAAAGCCCAGAGCTGCTTCCCCTTCTTTAGCAAGCATCAGCTGCTTTTTGGTCTTGATAAGCAAACTGCAGATTTAAGAAGTTAAACCGAAGGGAGGAGCCAAACCTTATATTAGAAAGGCTATTAAAAGAGTTGGGAAAAAGAAAGGCTAGAATCAATGTTACAAACACATTTAATTGCTATTTATTTATTTATTCACTATTTTTATATTTATTTATTATTATTTATTTCTTAAAATGATTAATTTTGAATAAGAGCTAATGTTCCATATTCAAATGCTGGATTTCTTTCAAAGGTGAAAAAGACAGGAAAAGGAGGCACAAATTGTTTTTTTTTCTTTTTTAGCTTGATACAAACTATTTAATTATATTGTTACAGCACATAATATGCCCTGGGGCTTTTAGAGCTTCAAATTGCAAGTGTTTGAGATACAGTTGCAACATTCTGGTCCTAGCAGATGTAAGCTACTCTTTCAATTTTCCGCGTCTCAGACGCTGGGAGACTTTTAGCCTCCCAGAAGAATACAATTACTGCTTTGTGCCGCATTCGAGCATACAACTCACATGAGAGCAGCACTCTAGTATTTGAGATAGCTGCAAACATTTACATTTTTAAACACTAAGTAGATTAAGCAAAGATTATATCACTCCAGCATCAAGCTGTGAACTTGCTTTATATGTTCCTTCCAGCAATTGGGCTAGCTGAGACAGGTAACTGGGTGGGTGGGTGGACAACCTGAATTATGAATATATTCGTTTGTGCAGGAAATTGCACTTTGAAACCTAGAAACAAAAGAGAGTCAGAAATAAATTGTCCTAAATCTGGAGGTAAGAGATGGAAAATAGTAATTCCATTGTATAAAGTGTCAGACATGAAGGTGGATGAAGGGTTTGTCTGTGGCAGTGCAGTTGCCTGGAAAAGTTCCAAGGATATTGTCATAATGCATATGTATGTTAAACTGTACACTAATTATAAAAGAGTTTGTCAGACCTTAGATATTAGTATTATCAAGGCCCCACTGATACTGCTAAATGATCACATTTATTATAAATCTGGTCTGAGGCTGCTGAGAACCAAAAATTTCACCAGTAAATCTTGAATCTGTAACTTTACAGTAAGAGTATATCTTAGAGCAAAACCACGCTTCAATTGCTCTCAAGCCACCCAGATGTTCACTGATTGAGGTACTTGTATGCAATCATAGCCAGATTTGAAAAATGGAAACGAAGTATAGCCCACTAATGTTCAATATAATCTTCTTCATTTGGCATTTATTTACATAAAATGTGGAAAGTGTCAAGTTATACATACATAAATAAAACATTTTTCTCTCTCAATATAAATATGCATGTGGGGTATGTTTTGTATGTAAACATACTTTTTTTCCCCTGCATTCCTTCATTTTTTGCAGCAATATGTCAAGCATATGGGAAATATTTCTTATAACTGGAGAAAGCCATTTCAAAGTGCTAGATTAGAACTCCAGGGGAGACTTTTCCCACTAATTGCAATATCAAAAAAGTTAAATTTTGGTATTCATCATCCTATTCAAGTACCTGCCATAAATTGGCTGTCTTGTTTCTGTTGGTTTTATTTGTTTGCTTGGTTGGGGTTTTTCTTCCTTTGGTGTTAAAACACTTCTTTTATAACACAGGAGTGAACCTGGGAGTGGGAGGAGGGAGATGAAGGAGGTTTCTTGCAGTAGGGCCACAGGTTTTTACTCAGCTGGGGAGGTACCTGAAGGTGCCTACCAAGATATGCCAGGCTGCTCTAGGGCTTGCTGTCAGTTTTCAGGCATGATAAGTTATATGTGCACCATGCTACCTGTCACTCATTAATCCCATCCACACAACAAGGGGTCTTCTGGTGCCAAGATCACTTTTGTTTCTAGCTGACACCTGTGAAGGCATGTTCAACCAGCCAGCTTCTGCCAAGAAGGAGGAACAAGAGTGACCAGACTCTGGCTCCTAATCATTAAAATAAATTAGTTCTTAATGAATTATTCTCCTTCAGCTGAAGTAAATTACTTTCTCCTGTGGGATGGCATGAAGCAGTGAGCAGGAAGGAGCTGGAGGTGTAATTTTTGCTGGGACTCTGGTATCACTCCTAAGGAATTTGGGATCTCTGGCTGCTTGTCTGCCAAGCCCTCCAGAGATCCTGATTTGTGTTTTTGTTTGGGACGTGTGGGTGTCTCCAGAGAGGAGGTGTAAAACACAGACGGTGTCTTTGTGGATCAGGTGTGCAACACACAGCAAGTCTCGTCATGACTAGCGGGGGTTGCTAATTACAGCTATAATTGTCTTTTGGGCATATTCGTTAATAGCTGGTGAGAATATACACGTAAGATGACAAGAAAAGGAAGACTATTTCCCCAGTGGCAACCACAGCAAGAAATGCTCGAGACTCCCTGTCTCAGCTACTTTCCTGTAGATGCAAGGCAGAAAGTTGGGGAACAGAAAAAAGAGATGACTGGAACTCTATTACTCAAATACTTCTTTCAGGCTAAAAGTCTTTCCATACAGTCCTTGTGGGCTCCTATCAAGAACTGGTAGGTACAAATACATAAGTAAATAAGTAATTAAACAAATAAACCAACAGGTAGAAAATGCTTAGTTTGTGCTGTCTAAACAAGAAAAAACATTGTTCATTGTAGTTAGCCTTTGAATTTGATAATTTACTTAGATTATTACGTAGCACTGCCATAATTTATTTACAGCTTCCATGATTATAATCAGAGTAAATATATGAAATGTGCAAACAATGAGGTTACCACAGCTGGTGGACTAAGCTAAAGCTCACAGCTTTCATTGGATGACCTTACATGTTCTTATAATTCTCTGGCTTCAGTAAGTAATACAGAGGAAAAATAATTTCCTATAATAGACTTTTTTGGTTTTTGAAGTACAGTTGAAAAAAGGAGGAAAACAAACATGTGGATTGAAGCACAGATATGTTTCTCATACAGACAAATGGGGGGTTTTTTTGGTCTCTCTGTATTTCTTTAGTTTCATCATTGATGTAGATATACTTCAAGGACAGAAAACCTTGTGACAGGGAAAGGCACAACCATTGTCTCAAATAACTTTGCCAGTTCCGATAGGCCTATGCACATTTCTTTTCTGGGGTTTCCTAAGCAGCAGTTTGGTTATTGGGTCTGTGGCTAGGAATGTAATCCCTAAGTAGCTGACAAATTGGTATCAGTCATTAATCTACATCCAAGACCCCAGCTAACAACAGCAGAATGCAAGACAAAGGTTTTCATATCAATAAAGGTGGGAACATTTCAAGTCTTTCACAGGGCCACCAGCAAACCCAGCACTTACCCTTAGTTCCCAGGGTTTATGGGAGGAACCTCACAAACCACCTTTTCCATAGATTATCACAGTTTTTTGCATGAGCTCAGTAGATAATCTCTGTATGCTCCTGATGGTGCTAAATCCTTCTTAACTGAGATAAGCATATAATCCTCACTGCAGGGCCTCACAGGCTTCAGAGTTCAGTAGCAGAGTTCAGTCTGGCTCCAGACTTCTGAAAAAAGTTGCAGTCTGAGTTTTGCTTTCAGGAGGGAAGCCTATCACTGAATGACAATGATGGCACTGCATGCTCAGGGACAGAATAAACTCAGTGAATTAAAAGTAAATGGAAACACAGAGATGATGGAAGAAAGCTATTTTGCAGCCTTAATTACAGTTTGCATTGTTGTGAAAAAATATTGTACGGAACATTATTACATTTGTAGGACAACACCAACTATACTGTTTTCTACTGTTTCTTTGTCACTCTGACCTTGCAAATACCTTAAGAATTTCTTCAGAAAGATGTAAAAAGTGCTAAAATGATACAACTCTATTCTCCCTTTGTACCTGAAACATCAAAAGGCAGTGAGAACAGCCCAAACTACACATAAAACTTTAGTTGCCCTGTGATCTGGCAACCCTGTCAGAAAAATAATTGATTTATTTGGCACAGAAACAAGACTTTTTCCAGTGGGAACAGTATTGACAAGAGGAGACAAAAGATTCTTTAATTTGTTAATAGGGGTACTGTGTGTTGAGGACCTGGGGACAATCAAACCTAATGAGAAGCCATCCATCTCCTACAGATTTGCTTATTTGGAAACTACTCTGGAAGTTGATATTCGAATCTCACATAAAGAGGATCAGCTCTCGGGTAGGCGGGCCATTAACTTTATGAAAAGGTCTTTTGGGGAAAAAGAGGCTACCACGCCGGAACAAAGCAAAAGCAGGCAAGAAGGAAAGGCTCTTCTAACACACTTTGCAGGACTGACACACATTTCTGCAGAAAGGGGGGCACTAACAGGGCCTGAGAGGACCCTGGGGTTCCCATAGTGCACATGCTGCTGGCTGGTACTGAGCCAGCTATGCCCCAGCCCCCTTGCTGCTGGCATGGACCTGATTCAGCCTCTCCCCTGGGCTGACATTGGTTTT